CTCTCTCTCTCTCTCTCTCCCCCTCCCTCCCTCCCTCCCTCATAGCCTTTTCTTGACATGAATAGATGTGCCTGTAATGTAAAATCTATGCAAAGTGCGCATTAGATACAAGATATATTGGAACAGATTGAAAGTGTTAAAAAATATACATTAATGGCCTTTTGTGAGAAGTCATATTAATTAAGAATTAATCTTTTTCATTGCACCCTGGGCAGCATTTTTTCCCCTATAATCATGTATAGAATACAGTGTTAATCTAATTTTTCTTTACTTGCTCATAGTTAACCTCAAATCCAACTGGGTCCAACATTAAATTTAAGTAAATCAAAGGTTTTGGTGATTTCAGTAAGAAGGAGAATTTCCGATAAAGTTCTATGTGGACATACATCCTATTCCTAAACAAGCCAGGTAGCAATGCTATTTTATTATTGGGCCCCTTTTAGACTTCTTCAGTCAAAGTCATTTAAAGGGGGCTGTCGTGGTCTAGAGGCTACGGTGTTCGCCTCTCATTCAATAGGTACCGGATTCGAAACCTGACAGCGACGGAATCTGAAATTTTCTCCCTTCACCCCCTTTTCTGCTCTCTAGCAATGTTCTGCTGTCTGCTTTCCTCTCCACTTTCAGCCCCCTCCATCTTGCCCCTCCTCTGGGCTCCCGACTCCTTCTACAGCTTTTATGCTACTACTCCTTGGCTTCTTCTTACTGCTGTCTTTCAGCCACACCCCTATCTTATGGTAGGTAAGATCTAACACCTAGCCTTCTCGGATAAGGACAAAAAATCTTTGAAGTCCTGTGTGCAAGTTGCGCACATTAAAGATTCCTTGGCTGTCCTAAAATCGATAAGAGTAGTCGCAAACCGGGCAAAATTTCTACCAAACTGAAAATCTTTCATGTGTCCCTGCCACTCATATGACCATACGCAGTTGCGAGTGCTGTAAAACACTCCCCCCCCCCCTTCCAATAAAGTAATTTAAGCTTTGAATGAGAGCTTTTCTTTTCATTTGTGCTGTGCACATGAGTAAGATGAGTCATGTTTGCTAACAAAGCTGAGAACTCCTAGTCTACTACTGCTATTATCAGAGATCATTAAGAGTGCTGCATTCTACCAACTTTAAGTTCAGGACAGAAAAAAGGAGAAAATTCAAAGGTCTTTTACTCACCAGGCCTATGTAAAGCAAGATAACTGGTCCTATCCTAACACCGACCGTTCCAGTAATAGCGAAATACTATCACTTTAGACAAGCAATAAAAGAGAACCAAAGAGAGAATGTGGAACTTTCAAGTAAAACAGAAAAGAATCATCATACCTTAAAAATTTCCTCATATGTTTCCTCATCAATTTCAGAAGTAGTCACAGTTTCTTCAACATCGCCCAGGATCATGTTGAGATGTTGATCATATGCCTGTACAAAGGAGAAAAAAAGAGTGAAAGTTGTGCAGGTGTGTATTATTTACTCTGGACACAAAACAAGGCAACAACAGTATGTGCACAGTTCAATTGATATCAAAATCCATATACTTAACCTTGTCAATGGATGACTGGTAAGTGGGCAGAGGGTCCAACCAATATCAAGTAGTAAAACAGTTCAATAATCCCTGTGACTGAATACAGACTGATTCTGCATACAGCTGAAATTTCACAATCAAGATCCAACCGCACCAAAAATTTCAGACAGATATATATGATCAAATTAAAACATGTTTAATTCACTCAAGCTTTCAACCTTCAACATTCAACAACCAGAATTGATAGTGAAACTCACATTCACCGAGTCCTTAGATGAGCAGGTTCTGCTTCAGACTCACCAGAGTGAAGAGTCTCGTGTAGAACCCAGTTTCAACTGATCTGGTTTCAGGCACTGTTCTCCTCTAATAACAAGCCTATCTACTACCATAGTCCAAGGGACTGTCAATCGTCCAGCATCACGGACCATTAAGATATTTATTTTGCATCGTACACTGAACTGTACGATTGACCCACCAGGGACATTGACTTAGCAATTTTGTGCGGCCAATCGGAGTCCGTTTTTCACGGTTATCAACACAATTCATGCATCTAGACACATGGATAACAGGTCTGCATGTGTCTGGGGATGTGCCTGGATCTGGTAAGTTATGGGTGAGATGGGCATTTATGTATGGGAGAAAAGGGGCATACAGTTTTTGGCATGGATCGTCAGAAGAGGGGCAGGCCCAACAACATAGCTACTGAGCATTGGATGGACATACACCCTAGTCTGTCGGAACAAACTTCTGGTACTGAGACAGAAGTCAAAACTGGTCCTAGCAGTAGGCCCTTCAGTATATTACTTTGTATGCATTCTGTATGGCCAACAATTCATAATATGATACAGGCATGCATTTGAGCAAAGGGTGATTTTTATACCACCTGTGTTGTGTGACAGAGTCCATTTGTTATGAAATATCGCAGTACAGTATCATTGGCTTCAGCCTTCAACTTGAGCCCTCGCCTAGGACATATGTTCAACATGTGACATCAAAGAAAAAAATGCCTCTCATTTAAAACTAAACTAAAGTTGATTGAAGAAGTTGAAGAAAAAAAATATCAATAAATAAAGTATAATACATACATAGGTTGTGAACATGGCTTTGCACAAAGCCCTTAGTCAACTTTCTTGAAAGACATGGTTAGAATTATAAGTACACTCATTTATTTATGTACACACAATAAAACAAAAAGTGAATTCTGCGCACGCCCGAGAGGATATGTCAAGGGAAGCAACCGCTCATATTGAGCATTTTTTAGCAATACTGGATGGTATACGAGCATTATATGACGTGTTTATGCTACTTTTTTTTGGTAAGTGTTTTACCGTGTTTGCAGCTGCATAAGGTCATGAGCCTGCGGGACACGCCTAACGTTTTCAGTTGGTAGGAAATTTGAAATTTTGCCCCGGTGGCGGCCGAAGCCTACTCTTATCGATTTTGGGCTACCAGCCACCAAGGGATCTTTAACGTGCGCAACTTGCACACGGGACCTCCGAGATTTTTCGCCCTTGTCCGAGAAGGCTAGGTGTAGATCTTTCCTACCAGAAGATCAGGGGTGTGGCTGAAAGACAGTAGTAAGAGGAAGCCAAGGAGTAGCAGTAGAAAGGCTGCAGAAAGAGTCAGGAGCCCAGAGGAGAGGGCAAAGGAGGTGAGACGGAAAGTGGAGACTAAAGCAGACAACAGAACATAGTTAGAGAGCAGGAAAGGAGGTGAAAGGAGACAATTTCAGAGAAGAAAATTTTACGGTCGCTTCCCGGATTCAAACCCGGGACCTTTGATTGAGAGGCAAACACCTTAACCTCTAGGACACGAGAACCTCCTTGACGTGTTTAGGACAGACGTACATGTCCTAATCAAAACAAAAATGTTCACATTAGCGATATGTCATTTTCACCAAAAGCATAGATTCAACAAAACTGAAGGTCAGACCCGCCTCTTTCACTGGACACTGCGAATAGTGAACAATCGTGCAATTAAAGCAAACCCTATGTCTACATCCACTGCAAGAAACTTACATGCAGACGCCCACGAAGCTCCCGATCAGTCCTCATTTTAACATAAATTCTTTCATCCAAGCTGAGACGTACCAAATCCAATGGCTCTTCCACAGTCTGAGCAGGAATTGCCTGAGTGAAAGAGAAATTTAAAAAATTTATCTACAGCATGAAATAATCTGTTCTGACATTCAAATCACAAAAAGATGGAATCACCTTCACAAGTAAAGGAGAACAAAATTTTGTGGTTTTAACAGGGTAATCATACCATAATTAATATAAATTATCATGATCTTTCAGCTTTCATAATTCCAAAGGAGTGTTGACCACAATCAAGATCCCTCCTAGTCCGTTCTGGGCCTTCCTCTCCATCTCCCTCAGTGTCAGTACCAAGTCTTCCTTAGCCTTTATCAATCATGTTAACAGCTGCGTGCTGTGTTCTGGGATGGTCTTTTCTCCTTTTTCCTCTTGAATTTGAGCTCAATAGCCAGTCTCGTGGCATTTAAGCGATCTTACATGTATGAAGCATTTTTTACCCAGGACTCAAGGAATCCAAAATTCACAAAATTTAACACTTTGCCATCGCAAAGATTATACTAAAGTAAAAACCCTTGCCATCATAGGCAAAGGAATTTGGGGAAAATCCAAAGAAACTGGGTGGTAACATCACCGATCGGCGAGATGTGATGGCAAAGTGTTAAGAAGGGCCCAATAGTAGTACAGTAGAAATCGGATTCAACGAGGTCGCCGGGCCTGACCAAAAATCTCGTTGAATCCGAGTGTTCATTATAGCAAACATGAGGTTTTGTGTAGATAATTACAGGTACTGAGAAAGTAATATAGAATTAACAAGTGGAGCCTGAAATGCCTGCATATTAGCTGTGCAAAAAAAAAAAAAGACCAATTCGTTCAAATCCACACCTGTGCCATCTCGATTGTTTGCCAAAAAGATGTGTTGCTGTGTGTAGAGCCTTGTGTACAGCAAATTTTCAATTTGATTCCATAAACCAGTGCACAATTCATTACGTAGATCTACGTCAAGACTAGCTATCATTGTAATATTGATCAGTTGCCGTGGGGAAAAAAGACTGTGACGTGTTGTATCTGCAACGTTCCCCGCCTGGACCGATGATGCCCCCTCCCTCCCCCCCCCCCCCCCTGGTGACTGGTGAGAATAGCCACTTCCTTCATTTAAACCCATGCACTCAATTTAGGCCTACCTGCTGGGAGTCAAAACCAGGATCCCACCTAACCTTATTTAGCCTTAACCCTAACTTTGGCTTAGCTTAGCCTTACTTTAAAACCCTAACCCTATTTTATCTTTAATAGTCTCTATATTATAACACTCTAGATTGTATTTCATATTCATCAGAGCGTCATAGTCATAGTGGTCGTCGTTATGGAATTCCTCCTGTTTTTTCGGAAGGGGGCTTCTCTCCTTCCCCCCCCCACACACACACATTAAAATTTACATGAAGCAACAGCGAGCACCTAGCACGCCTCTGTGATTGGCCAAGATATAGATGACGTATATCCGCCATCTATTTTTGTCGTCTTCCGGGGTTCCCATTGCTAGTAACTGTTGACTAGATCTCGCCCTGATTTGTTTTTATTAATTTTTGTTACCGTATCTTTCATATAAACAATCTCAGCATTTCTCATTCCATAAATTTACCTTCTCCTCAAAGTTGCACACACACAGCCCAAGCAGTTGCGATGACACCTAGTGACATAGCCGATCGCGCGAGCAATGCGGGCCCGCCACGGTGAGATCTAATCAACTGGCGAGGGAAGCCCCAGAAGACGACAAAAATAGATGGCGGAAATACGTCATGTATATTTGAGCCAATCACAAAGGTGTGCTAGGTGCTTGTGGTAACAAGCGGATAGCTAGAGAACAACAACTAACTAAAGTTGCTTTTTCTCCTCACAGTATCCAGCAAAACTTGCAGTCTCGAATTAGATCTACTCCATTTGAAGCTCAGCGTGTTATTGAGTCCAATCTCTTGTACAGGCTTCAAAATTTCTTGTGCTCACAAAACTTAAAAAGAAACGACCCGGATCGAAACGATCGATCTTTGAACTTGCTTTCATACGTAGGCCTACTCTTAGTCTTAGACTTTAGTCTTTTTCTTCTTCTCAGTTTATGTAGTGTACAGCATCAGAACCATGTTAAACATTTTCTCACACAGTTAAGAATCTGGGGGTTGATTTGACTTTGACCTGATTTTATTTAAAAGGTAAAATTGAAGATTAGCAGACCACCTCTGGGACTATGCGTGGAGTCAACATGCGATTAAACGTAGAAAGGACGCAAACTATTTTTAGGTACAGGCCTAAGGCGCCCATCTTGTCAGACCAGGATACCCCTCCGATCACGTGACTACATCTAAGTACAGCCAACCTCATGGCACCAAAGATGGAAGTGTCTATGTATGGTGCTTAATCTACACCTTTCTCTCGGAAGTTCTGATGGCTGAATAGACAGCGCGTCTGCGTCGGAAGTCGTGCAATGATTTTTGGAGCGGTTCGATCCCAGTCCAGGACAGTTGGTTTTTTTCTCTTCTCCTCCTCCCGACTGACCAACAGTCACATAAATCATAGGCCTAATTTGTAGAGCTGCTTTGAAGTTGTTGTTTTTCTTTAAAAATATATTAGTGATTAAAAATGCAGGAGAGGGGGTGGGGTGGTAGATCTAGATTTAGATATCTAGATCTAGATCTAGATCTAATCCTCCTGCGTCTTTACGGCAATTTTCGTGCGGTCTTCCATCATGTCCAAGTAAGCCTACTATCTAAATCTAGAATCTAGATTTCTAGGTCTAGATCTAGATCTAATCTAGTCTAGATCTAGATTCTAGATCTAGGAAATCCGAAATGTTACCGAAAACATGTAGTTCCATGTGGGTATCCCCCAGGGAGTGATAACATCACAGTACTAAAATTAGCAGCCAATCAGAAAGATGCGTCTTTTCTACGTTTAACGGCATGTGTGGGGTCACTTCACTAGGCCTAGAGTCTAGATCTATCTTTTAATTTTAAATATATTATTTTTGTGACTAAATATAAATCTAGATTCTAGCTTTAGCAGGGCCCCCCAGCACCCCCCTTTCTAATGGAGTAGATCTAGACTCTAGATCTAGATCTACTCTAGTGGTGGTCTGCTAATGTTCAAAAAAGAGGCCAGTGTTTCTAGATCTAGATTCTAGAAACACTGGCCTCTTTTTTTAACATTAGCAGACCACCACTAGAGTAGATCTAGATCTAGATCTAGATCTAGATAGATAGGCCTAAATAAGCAAAACCCCCCTCCCTTACCTTATTTAGGCCACCTGTGGCCTAAATAAGCTAAATCCCCCCTCCCTTACTTTA